TAAAAGCAGGGAAAAGGAAAATTCCAGACTAAGAGAATATCAATTCTCTTGTCGAGACATACACAACGCGTCTTCGATTACGGGTTTCTGCTGATTTTCCACTTTGTTTTGAGATTTACTACACAGAAGAGTAACGGTTTTCAAACACTGCAGTTAGGCGCCTGTGTGGCTGTTTGCAAGAAAACTTCCTTTTTCGGATATTTACTTTGCAAAGAGTCTAAGAAACTGACGAATTTAACTATTTCCCATGTCCAACATAGTGCATTTTTATCCTCTTTTCTTGTGTACCTGAAGCAAACATTTAGGCAGCAAGTTCTAACTGCTTGCTCATAGAAAAAGCCATGAATTTTTCAGTTTTCTTTTGATAATCCGGGCTTTGTAATGGTAATTTTCCTTAGTCCCGCCAGCGTTTGTTCCTTCATTAACGAAACAATGACATTGATTTTTACGCAAAGTTTTTTGTTTCAAGTGTGTGTCAAGGATAACCTGTGATAGCACATTGCCAATTTAAAACCGTGACGATTCCTGACGAGCTCGAGGCTGTCACGCCTGTTATTGCCGAAGATTTTATCTACTCGAAGGCGAAAGCCCAGAAAAAAAAAGATCTATGCAAATTGTATAGTCGCGTCGGTGATACGACTACTCAAATCAAATTTAGAATTTCAGACTGTTTTCTTCTACACATACGGTATGCGATTGGTCAATTGATTTGGTTAGGCATGAGGCTTATTTGAGAATTAAGCTGAAATCGGGCCGAATCAGTAGAGTTTACCGTTTTAGCACCACGGTTACTCTATTTCACCTGGAAAAAATTTATAACCTTCCTGTTGGATCGTGATAAAAATGTCATGTGGATGAATTAAGATAAGAAATGTAAAATATTTAATGAAGACTGGATAGATGTCAAATCCAATAACATGTGAGAGGATGATGCAAGGAGAAAATGAACAAGAAAAACATTGAACACAGGAAAAAAAAAAACCGAGGCTTCAATTAGAAAGTGACCAATACAGAACGTCTTTTTGACAGCTCAAGTACTAGACTTTTGTTGGAGAAAGCGTGAGTACAATTTAAAAAGTTTTGCTAGTCTTTCCTCTTATTTACTTTCGTTAGTCCTATCTAGCCCAGAGAAGTTCAAAGCCGAGTTGTCATCGTACGGACAATTTCACCCTCCACTCTTCAAAATACCTCGTATAACAATTGTCGATAGGCCTAAAGTCTAGTTCAAGGGAGGGCTGGATAAGGCTTAAGTTTTGCTGTCTTCTTTTCATGCAGTTACCTTTCTGCAGCAAGATTGTTATTAATCGCGATATAGGCGACTTCAAGTGAATTAGACGCCGCTGTAGGCCGTAGGACCAAAACCTAAAATGTAACCATCATCAATACGCCTTTTTCCCTAAAAGAATCTGTTTGTATAGTTGTTTTCAGTTTCCGCCGCGTGTTCAAGCTCAATTTAATTAGTGGTAGAGCTCTTGGTTGTAGAACGGGTAACATTCAGGAGCTACTAAGGGGTATAAGGGTATACAATGAGTCATTTGGCCAAAATTTACACCAACACAAAAATAACAATGAAACGCAATGGAAATAGTAATAATAACAGTGATAACAAGATCAAAACCGAAAAACCGCTATGAATAATTATCCAAACCGAGGAAAAATGACGGAAGAACACCAGGGAATGACAAAAACCGAAAAGCGTCTTTTTTGTGTTCATAGAAACCGAAAAGAAACCGACAGAAAGGAAAATACAGGAAGTCGTAGGTGGTGGGGACCAAAGCCGTTCAAAAACAAAAACGTGAACACAAAAAGCATTAGGCGAATGAATTGTGTGTCCAATCACCCCAACCTCCTCTTCCCCCTCATTGAAATGTCAAGGGAAAGAAGACAGGGGATCGAGATTAACGGTTATTACCTGATAAGTTATGCACGCGCAACTCTAGAGATTACTTCAGGAACACGTCTGCCACCAAAACTAGCGTCTTCAATCTACAGACACTACCCAGAAGGTAACTGATATTGAAAACCAATGAATAACAAAGATAAATCTTCAATTACCTGACGATGTATTGGTTTCCTCTCAGAATCAAATGCAGTTTATATTGCGGCAATGAGAGATTTCCGATGCGCCCTGCCTTTCTTCCAACACTGATGAATCTGTGAAATCAACATCAGCTATGCAAGTTCCCGCTGACCAAGGAAAACAAAAGAAAAATTTCATTTTTTCTCTCATTGGTTCACTTACATCGGGAAACAAAAAAAAGAAAAAAATCCAAACCCAGAATAGGTAGTGAGCACAATTTGACAGGGCTAAGGTCAGAGAATGAGGTGCAAGCTTTAATTTCC